GAGCTGAACTGGCTAGGGGCTAGTATGAGTTTTCATTAGCTGTGTTTCTCTGTAAAGGGCCCATTTTTCTTACTGGTTTGGAAGAGCTATAGGAAAAACTTGTTTGTTATTTGCAGATGTTTGTCTCCCCTCCCCCCTCCCCCCCACCTCATTTGTAGTGCACATAATTTTTTTAATTTGTTCACATAATTTTTATTCTCTGCAGAGGTTTTAAGTTTGCATGTGGTTGCTCAGGTGGTGTGGTTCAGTGATTGAGCATCGACCTATGAACCAGGAGGTCATGGTTCAATTCCCGGTCATACGCCCAGGTTGTGGCTCTATCCCCAGGAGGGGCATGTCGGAGGCAGCCAGTCAATGATTCTCTCTCATCATTGATGTTTCAGTCTCTCTCTCCTTCTCCTTTCCTCTCTGAAGTCAATAAAAATATACATATGTTAAAAAAAATTGTGTGTAGCCAAATCTGTGTTTTCTTTGTATTTTGTAATTCTTCTGTGTTTTTTGTAGTACTTTTGTGTCTTTATTTTTTTATTTACATATTAATCTGTTGGAACCTTACAGAGGGAGGTAAACGATTCCTGCTTTATTTTCCTCCCAAACCTGCGTGTTAGGCTGTGTTTACCATTGTGGTGAGGAGACAGTCGGTATCCCAGATGCCTTGTATTTTGACTTCGGTCACATCAGCTATAACCTTTAGTTATCTCTCATTGCCTGTGCCCAGGTCCTTTCCCACAATGTTGTTGATAGAAAGGCTGATTACAAACTGATTTTCCTTACTGTTCCATTAGAATGTACTCATGTGATATCCCTTTAACCATATCCTCCTGAAATGCAACACCTGTGAAACCGTATTCTGTCCTCTGACTATCCCCACTGGCGGCAGCTGTGGTGACTGGACAAGGACTGGGAGTAGGGGTGGGCCTCCCGGGTACAGGGGTGGCACTGGGGCAGGCAGACGGGCATCTCCTTGCTTGAAGTTTGCTTTCCGTTCCTCGAGGCTCCTTTATGAGAACGGAGCAGAGGGTTACTGACCTCATCAACACTGCTGTAGTTGCACTCCCGTTTTCTGGATGAGAAGACTGAGGCTCAGTTAGCTGCCCAAGTTGTGTCTCTACAATCAAAGCTCCAAAGTTCATTGTTCTGTTATATACAGCAGGGTCTTACCTTCTACTTTTCTTGTGAAAGCAACCTGTGCCTGAGTTTGCACCAGGCCTTCTCTGTGAGCTGCTGGGTGCCTTTTGGGTCCACACCCAGGGTTACTGCTGGCACCCAACGGCACGGAGGCACCTCAGGGCGGGCGTAGGGCAGGCTCGGGCACTGGGAGAAGCGTGCTGTGCTAAGCAGGAGGCCCAGGGTGGCCAGCCCCACCCTCCCTGCCTGTGCCCAGCTTGGTTGGTTGATGGTTTTAAATGTTTTTATCTTAGGTTCTGGAGAATGTTACTCATCTTTACGATAAGAACAAACTGCTCTCTGGGTCACGTGGACACTCCAGGTTGGCCAGGCCTGCCCTGG